GGGCAAAGAGGTGCTCATTGCAGTTAAGCCTAACATGATAACCACATGTGGTTGTTGTTGTAGCGGCTACAACAACCCCGCCCAGATCGGTTGGTATCTCAGTCGTTGTCGTCAAGTTCCACTAACGGCAACCCTAGGAAGCGTGCAGCTTCTGTGGGATCTGTCCACAGGGACATGGCCGTTAGGGTTGTCGGGTTTTCCGGGCATGCGAAGAGGTGGTTCGAGTCATGTGGGGTCTCTCCGCATGCCGGACATTCGTTCGGCACATCCTCATTCAACCTACTCAAGTAGGAGTTTAACCTGCTGCAGTAGCCGGGGCGAAGTAAAGCGAGTGTAGTGCGTGTCTCCCGAGGCAGATGAAGCTCTGTCTCGTCTATGTCCGGGGGTGGTATGCCTAGAACGGCATTCACAGGTCTAGAGTCTACATAACTCGAGACTGAGTCCCTGTGAATGCCGTTCAGGGCCTGTCTGTACGCTGTCGGGTCCAGAGGTTGCTTAATGAACCTCTGGACTTGGTCCGTCAGTTCATATAGATGCCTCCTGACGTGCCTAGGCGAGGGCTCCTCTGCAAGCAGCTGTCTATTTGGGTGGCCACTTCTGTGGCTCCCGATCAGGAACTGCTTGCAGAGCATTATATTATGCTCCTTTACTGGGAGCATATGCGCCTCGCCGTGCAAGTGGTGTTCAGGCGACATCAGGAGGCATCCCGTCGCTGTCCTAAGTGCCGTATTTTGTACCGTCTGTAGCTTCGTCCACTGCGTCCTACTAGTCCCTGGTGACCACACTGGCGCTGCGTAGTTCAAAACCGGCCGGCCGGCCTATTGCCTTGTATGTTGCCAGCAACGTTTCTTTGTCTTTGCCCCAAGTACTGCCGGCTAGCGACTTGAGGACCTTGTTGCGGCTCTGTACTTTATTGACAATAGCGGTTGAGTGCGCAGAGAAGGAGAGCAGGCTGTCGAAAGTTACTCCGAGTATTTTGGGGTTATTCACCGTCGGAATTGGTGTGTCATCGACGTGAGTCCCCAGCGGTAGCCTGACCTCCTTCGTCCAGGTTGTGAACAGGGTCGCGGAGGATTTCGTAGGGGAGAGGGCTAGACACTTTGCAGTGAAGAAGCGAGAAAGTTCGGAGAGATAGCCGTTTACTTTCGAACACAGGTCATCAATTCCATTCCCAGTCGCCAT